CCGCCGCCGCCGCCGCCGCCGCCGCCGCCTTGTCGTTGCTCTGCGAACTGTGAGGCTCGAAAAAGGTAGAGCTAGGCTCCTCTTCAACCAGGGGCGCTCGAGGAAAGCAGAGGTCAAACTGCATCCTCCACCTGGAGCTCCCAGAGCTCCGCCAGTGGGCGGTGCTGGGGATGTCCACGACTACAACCCCCGGCATGCTCCATGAGACATCCCACTCCTGGGCGTCTCTCTGCATTTACAACCTTTATTCTGTTTAGGGCATCAGGGCTCCTGGTTCCGTTTGCTTCTGACTTGTCAGCGACCTTGCCTTCTCTTCCTGCAGAATGTGAGGCCATGGTCATTGTTCTAAGCCAACACGATCTTGCTGGAGCCCCCCCACTCCAGTTTATTTTAGGCTTATGCTCTCACTGAGCCAGTGAGAATTTTAAATAACCTTAATCCTTTCAGCTAAGTTCAAGTTAAGCTTAGTCTTTATTTCCTCTTTTCATTTCCTGGTAAAGGACACAGAAATTTTGAGTGCACAAGCTCCCGCCCTTCTCTTTATTGCCTTGTTAATCTTCTGAACATCCTTGAACAAAAGTAAAACTCTTCTTACAATTATCCCCTTGTGGCCATTCTCCCTATTTTCCCTTCCTATTCTTATTTTGTCGAAGTTGCTTATGACTTTTTCTCAGGAGACAAAAGGGACTTTGTGCATGGAAGATAAATGTCCAAGACGCCTTTATACTTGCGACTCTGCTTTAAGACCGGATTCCAATGAATAGTTGCTTCGATGCAAAAAAAGCAAGATCCTAACTCCACTAAGCGACTTCAAACCAAGGGATCCAGAAAGTGCCAGAAGGCGTTATGGAAACCATTTCTCTCCTGGAATAAAGAACCGCTTAGTCGGAGATCCTTTTCGGGTCATTTTACCGAGCTCAGGGCCCATTGCTCAGCTCAAAGCGTTCCCTGGGATATTCCTCCAATGAGCTCACTCTGCGCTCTATGGTCCCGCCCCACAGCTGCCTTGGGCTATTTTTCCCAGCACGCACTGCGAAGCCGGGAAGCTGATGACACACAGGGCTGTTACCCGGCGAACCCAACGACAGCGCAGGACCTTCGGACTCCATTTCCCATCGGCCGTGCGGGGAGTGCCGGAAGCCCGCCCCGCCCCTCATTGTGCGGCTCCTACTAAACGGAAGGGGCCGGTAGAGGCCCCGTTCAGTTGGGTCTCGGCAGCAGCTGCATCGGCTCTTGTCTTCTCTATCTCTTTTTGCAGTTTCTCGCTTCCGGAAACATGGTAAGCGGCAGGCTAAGGAGCCCGAAGGCGGTCGGCTGAGCTTGCACGCGTGGGGAATCGGGAGGGAGCGACGTCGGCACCCCCTCCCCCAGAGCCCCGGGCGGGATGAAGGTCTCGTACCCAGC